ATCCCGCCAGGCCCTCCTGTCTTCCACCATCCTCTGAAGCTCAATTTCATGTTCGTTGCATCAATGACACTGTCTAACCATCTCATCCTTTGCCGTCCCCGTCTTCTTTGACCTTCAATCTTTCCCAGCATCAGGGTCTTCTCCAGTGAGGGCTCCCTTCTCATTTGGTGGCCAAAGTATTTGAGCTTCAGTTTCATTATCTGGCCTTCCAGGGAACAGTCAGGGTTGATTTCTTTTAGGATTGACTGATTGGATCTCCTTGCAGTCCAAGGGACTCTCAAGAGTCTTCTCCAGCACCATAGTTCAAAAGCATCTATTCTTCGGCGCTCGGCCTTCCTTACGATCCAACTCTCACAGCCATACATGACTACTGGGAATACCATTGCTTTGACCATGCGGACTTTTGTTGGCATTTTGTTGCATTTGATGCAGCGTGTCATATATTTCCCCATATCTTCCTAGCACTCTGACCCTCCGTTTTTTGATAACCTCCAGGTGGGGCCTGCCGTTGTCCCGGAATTACGATTGATCTCCAGACTGTAGAGATAGTTTTATACCGGAGAAAATGGCAACTACAGAGTGCTGCCTCCATGGTATAAATTCTCCCCAAATTCCCATTCCCCAGGCACTGCCCTCAAACCTGTAGGAATTTCCCAGGATAGAGTTGGCAACCTCAGGAAAGAGGAGGAAGGGAGAAAGTCCCTCTCCCCTCAAGGGCTGCCGTTCATTTATACCGGAGCCTTTGAGTCCCAACGCAGTGTTCCCTCTAAGCTGAGTTAGTGTGAGCCAGCTCACAGCTTTTTAGCCTCCGGCTCACACATTTTTGTCTTAGCGCAGGAAGGAGGGCTCCAGTCTGGAGCCTCCAGAGCAAACTAACTGATGCAGTAGCCCAATCACCTGCTCACAACTTTTCTGCCAGTAACTCACAAAGTAGAATTCTTGCTCACAAGACTCCGCAGCTTAGAGGGAACATAGGTTCTGGAACAGACGTGATTCCTACGACCACCTTTCCCAAAGCATTGCCTATTTTGTCTTCAGCTTAAGGATGCCAGCCTCCAGGTGGGACCTGGGGATTCCCTGGAATTATACCTCCTTTCCAGACTGCAGAGATCAGTTTCCCGGGGGGGGAAAAACGGCGGCGGCAGGTTGCTTTGGAAGGTCGACTCTGTGGCACTGCACCCCACTGAGGTCCCTGCCCTCCCCAGGCGCCATCCCCCAAATCTCCAGGAGTTTCCCAACCTGGATCTGGCCGCCCTACGCCCCCCATCCCCCCCCCGGAGGACGGGGGGACCTGGCAACCCTACTTCAGCTAGGCCACTTCCCTCGACATCCCAAAGTCTGGTAACAGCTGGCAGGGAGGAGCGGGCGCCCTTGGGTGGGCGTCCCCCTGCCCCTGCCTCTCCCGCCCCCTCCTGGGAAGGGCTCCCTCCGGGGCAGCTGACCGTGCTGGAAGATGGTGTCCCAGGCGTCCATGTGGTCCTGCCAGATCTTGGGGTTGACCCAGCGCATGACCCCCGGTGGGATGAACAGCAGTGGCAAGGTGGTCTGCAGCATGGTCTCCAAGGCGTGGATGAAGCGCTGGGAGTCCGGGCTGGGGCTCTCCTCCAGGAGGCCCAGGCGCTCCCCGTAGAAGGCGTAGCTGCTGGCTGTGGGGTGAGGCGGGGGGATGACAGCGTCAGGAGGGCACTGGGGTTGCACCCTGACCCCTCTGAGCAGGGGGCCCCACCCCTCCCACAGTCTCTCAGGGCCATTTTACACATGGCAGCAGTCTTCCTGTGCCAAAGGGCACCGCAGGTCAGCTGCAATGCGTCAGGAACTTCCAAATGCTCCACTAGGGTCCCTCCCTCTTGGACCCACTGACCTGGGGTCACAGCCCAGCGGACCGGAAGACCAGGCCCCTCCCTACTCTGGTCCTGCCATGGGAGGGGGTCAACCCTGGCTAAGACAGTGGACCATGGAGCCTTTGGATGCAGTCCTCAGCACAGAATGGCCGAGTGCCCTCTCTCCTGGTGCTTTCCCTGTCTTCCTGAAGCCCCCCTGCCCATCTTTCTCTCCTTGGGAAAGATATTGTAATGTGGTGGGGGGGAAGGGTGGAGGAGGAGAAGGAGGAGGAGAAGAAGAAGAAGAAGGTTTTCCTACCCTGCTTTTCTCTACCTTCCTTAAGGAGTCTCAAAGTGGCTTACAATAGCCTTCCCGTTCCTCTCCCTACAACAGACACCTTGCGAGGCAGGGGGCTGCTGAGAGACTTCTGAAAGAACTGGGACTGGCCCCCAAGGTCACCCAGGAGGTGTCACATGGAGGAGGAGTGGTGAATCAAACCCAGGTCTCCAGATCAGAGTCAGCCACTCCCAGGGGTCATTTCGTAGGAAAAAAAGTGCAGGGGCTCAGTAGCATAACTCATTTGCATGTGCCACACCCCCTGACATCACCAGAAGTCTGTCAGAAGGCAACACCCACCACTCAGGCTCCACTGGACTGTTTTGGATTGCTAGCTATTGTGGGGGGGGGGAATATGCCACACCCCCTGAAATCACTGGAAGTGTGTCAGAGGGCAACACCCACCGCTCAGGCTCCACTGGACTCTTTTGGATGGCTAGGTATTGGGGGGGGGGGACGCACAGATCTGCCCTCACAGAGGAGGGAGAGCTTGTACCTGAAGGCAGGCTGGGGAGGCTGTGCAACTTACGTGGCTGCTTCTTGCTCCTCGTGGCCCGACTGAGGGCTGCTTGGAGCAGGGGGCGGGGCTTGTTGCATGTGCCCGCCCCCTGGGCTCCTTACTGCCAGAGCGCCGCTCCTGTGCGCTCCTGCAGGAAATGACCCCTGGCCACTCCTAACCACGACACCACGCTGGCTCACTGATGGGAACCCCGTTGGGTTTTCAAGGCCAGAGACATTCAGAGGTGCCTCTGCATAGCAACCTTGGGACTCCCTGGGTGTTCTCCCATCCCAAGGACTTCCCAGAGCAGACTCTGCTTAGCTTCCGAGATCTGATGAGATCAGGCCAGCCTGGGCTGCTCAGGTCAGGGCAAAACTGTAAAACCCTTTGCGGTGTAGGGGACAGAGACGGGCGGCCTAGACAGACAGTGGGGGCTCCCCCAGCCAGCCGCCAGCACAGAGGCAGAAGAGGGAGGAGGAACGCAAGGCTTTGCCCTTGGGGGCCCTCCGGCAAAGACGGCAGCCCTCCTGGAGGCTCTGGGGTGAGCCAGTTTGGTGCGGTGGTTAAGTGCACGCACTCTAATCTGGGAGAAGAGGGTTTGCTTCCCCACTCCTCCACCTGCAGATGCTGGATGACCTTGGGCAAGCCGTAGCTCTGATAAGAGCTGCTCTTGAAAAACAGCAGTTTCTGTCAGAGCTCTCTAAGCCCCACCCACCTTCCTCCCAGGGTGTCTGTTGTGGGGAGGGGGAAGGGAGAGGAGTTTTTAAGCCGCTCTGAGACTCCTTTGGGTATAAATCCAATCTACACCTCCTCCTCCTCCTTCTGCTTCTTCTTCCTTCTACAGGGATTCAGCATTTCTCTCTATGGAATGGACCAACTCAGAGCCATTAAAGGGCCCGCCATTTGAGCGGCAGGGAATGCCAGGAGGCGGGTGTGTGGCCTGGCCTGGTTGAGAACTCGCTAAGAGCTTTGGGGAGAAGCAGGGTGGGTTCCCTGAGCAGAGAAGGCGGCCTGCGGCAGTTGGGGTGGGGCTGCGGGGCTCCCAGCATTGGCCTACCTTCCAAGGTGAATCGGAAGAGGTCATGGTAAAGGTCGACCGTGAGCAGGCGCGCCGTGTTCTCCCTCCCCCGCCGGTGCATGAAATCGACAAAGTCCTCTGCCACGGTGTTGAGGAAGGGCAGGAATTTGACGGTGCCCGCGGGGCTGATCACCTCCCTGTTGAGGACCAGCCGGTCGGTGCGCCAGTCTTCCCCGTTCCTGCATGATGAAAGCCTCAGGGTGAGGAAGATGCAGGGGGGGGGAGAGAAGATGTGACTGGGAGGCCCCCCCACGTAGTAACCCCCCCACACACTCCCCCCTCCTCACCAGCATCCCTTTCAATTCCCTGTGTCATCTTGATTTCCCTTCCTGGGTTCTCCCAAGCCCGGCTATCTGAGATCCCTTCTTAATGGGGCTAAGTCTGGGGCCTTCTGTGTGGGAGGTGGGGTCTGGGGGG